GCAGAAAAGCCAATATCGAGCGTCCCTAGTTTAAATCAATAATGTGTGTTTTTTTCATAATAGTTGATGTGAATGTGTCCTGCCAGCGCTTGTTGTCACCAGGACCCTTGAACAAGACAATAAGCTCGCAGTTTGTAATCTCCTTGACCCTCTTTGTCAAAGGCTGGAGTATGAACAGATTCTGCAGAGGCAGTATTAGACTACAGTATTAAACACTGTGACCACAAATGCAGGCAATGGTGCCAAATATAGTGGACACTGATGCAGGAAGACTGATATGAAAAACAGAACCATTTATATGCATTTTTTCTATCACAATCAAAGAAAGTTTCAATTATTTATTTACCATTTTTCTGCCTTTGCAAAGAATGTGTAGTAACTCTAGCCTTTGACAAGGAGATGTTACGTGTTACAAAACATTTGTGAAACATCAAATTATTGTGGAAGGGTTATCAAAAAGGCTACCAGCATGGAAAATAACCCCCCAAACAATCTTTTATGCGGTTATTAGAGTATTTTGGGAATTTTACATTATACAATAAAAAATAATAAAAATGTTACTTTATGTGGTTATTAGAATATTTTGTACATTGTACAAAAATATATGCACAGCATCCTTAGAAAGTTGTGGAAGGGTAACCCAAATTTTTACCTCCAGGGAACCTCAGGGGGACGTTATTACTACTACAACCCATGAAAGGTTTGCAGTTTTACATGAACTCAGTGGAAACTGGCAGATGTACTCAACAGACACCTCTGAGCTTTAGTGTGAAAGTAACATCACAGGAACCAAGTTTCTGGCACTCCAAACCGCAGGCAGGGTCACAACAGGCTTTTAGATCCATAACCAACATTCTTACACAATAAACACATCTCGTTTGCACAATTGAAGAATCTTGTTCCCACAAGATCGAGGCCAATTCCTATTCCAAATGTAAACAGCGAGAACACTTTTAACTTTTTAACACTAACTTTTTAACTTTTAGAAACTTGGATCATAGATTTCTGCAACAGCCAGAGGGAATAACACCAATATCACATGAAGGGAAGTAGAAAAAAAGTGTAGAGATGAAAGCAGAAAAGATGACAGTTTCTAGTTTAGGCTAATGTGAGGATTAAGACATTAAAACGGATAAGTGTGGTGTAAATACACAAATTGAAAGTCAACATGTGAACAGCACACACATCTGAGTCGGTGGGAGGGAAGAGAGAACAGAGAGAGAGGGGAAGGGGGTTTAAAAATACGAAAAACATAGATTTCAAAGTGGGAAAAACAGAGGGAGAGAAAGAAGAGGAGGTAGCAGGGAGAGAGAAGAGTGTATGTAGGGAAACAGAGAGCTCTGCCACAGGAGTTTAGGCTCACAGAGGGAGCACACTGCTGACAGAGAGGCAGCGGGAATATACAGAGTGAACTGGCTTTACGCTCTGTGAACAGCCACTAATCACTGCTTCAAACACAGGGTCAGTCCAGGGCTGCACAGATACCACTGTCTGGAAAGGGGAGGACAAAAGGAGAGAAATAAGAGAGAAGAAAAGCAGACAAGAAACAAGAGGGACTCACACAGAAAGAAGAAGCAAGCAGAGGTAAAGGGAGATGAAAAAAGGGACAAGTGAATGAGGGACCCAGGCTAACCCTGGAGTATCTAGCCAGCGCTCTGCTCAGCCCAGGTGGGAAGATGTCCAAGTCCTCCTCCCGTCTGGGTCGACCCGGATCAGCAGGGTCTAAGAGCCCGAGCTTGAGAAAGGAGCTGCAGGGTAATCGCTCATGCATGCTGCGGATTGGAGAGAGGCTGATGAGGGCGGGCAGTGAGGGGAACCTGGTCCAGAGACCCCTACCAGTCCAGAGCCAGAGCCAGGCAGGATTGAATGGGCAGACACATCGTCCAGCCCTGGAGGACAAACCCACTGAGCATACAGGAAATAACTCCAGCAAAGGTAAGGTGCTTCTCACCAGTTCTTTACATACACGTAGTTCACCTTACGTAATGCTTTAATATGGAGATGGAGCATAAGATTATCCAAGGCAGCATAAAATAACATTATATAGCACGGAGGCTCAAAGTGAGAGGCTTTTCTACAATGTCAAATGCTGCCAAACTAATTCATTTAGATTAATTTTAAAGGTTATGGCCACATCTCAGACTAAGTGATAGACTTGAAGTTGCAGTAGGTAACTTTCATAAAAATAACTTTTTGTTATATTTGCTTTCACTATATCCTTACAGTAATAATGAGACAGATAAGCTGTGAAAAAGCTTCTCCTAGTGCTCCTTAATTCCTGAAATCTGACAAAAACGGAGAGGCTGACATGAACGGTTTATCCTCCTCGGCTGCTCATAGTTTAAGTCTGTACAATATGATGTGAATTCAGCATGAAGTGTGAAATGCGTGTGACATTTAAAATAATGGATCGGGTTGGCATTTACACATTGTGTATTCATGCTGTCAGTATTTTATCTCAGGCTTATATTTAACATAGAAATACTCAAATTAGGGTTATAATTATGATGTGATCTCCATCTAACCATGTTAATGTATGCATGATCCAGACTGCAGCTGGAAAAGCTGCTCAGAGTGCTGCATTAGTTGCTGTCATGCTGTAAAGAGTTGTGCTATGTGATATGAATGTTAGCCCTATTACATTACTATACTTTACATAAATACAATACTACATAAACCCACATGTAGAGCCTGGTTGATAAATCAGGGGTCTGATATTAGGAGATGGTTTTGCCTCATTACAAATATGTAATGGTGGGGAGTTGGAGTATATGTCAGTAGACAAATAAGAAATGTTAGTAGAGAATGATGACCAAACAATACACATATATATATTTGTTTGGAAATGCCCCCAAATGAAGATTTTGAACTCAAGAAACATTTTTTTTGGGCACATTAGTAAATGCACTGAGTAGAAACAACTAAAGGTGAGAAATCAATCAATCAATCAACTGATGTATGGCATGGCCATGCCAGCCCTCTAGATCCACCCTTGGTGTAAAAGACCCCTGTGATTGATACACACCAGGCCGCGAACTGGTATTTGATAAACTGTAATCTCGGGGATCCCCGTCTTCTGGTAACACTTTTATGGTAAATGGTAAATGGACCTGTACTTGTATAGCGCCTTTCTAGTCTTCCAACCACTCAAAGCACTTTTACACTACGTGCCAGGAGGACTATTTGACAGGAGAAAGCGGAGATTGAACCAACAACCTTCCGATTAGGGGACGATCCGCTCTGCCTCTGAGCCACAGCCGCATTTATGAAGGTCATATCTATAATGCTTTATAAGCACATTATAATGCATTTTTTAAAGCTTTTTAAAAGTCTTCATAAATGTTAATAATCTTGCATGACAAGTTATAACAAGGTTTATAAAGTATTATAAGTGGTGGACATAACGTATTATAAGTTTAGCATTCATAATGCTTTATACCTCTATGCCAAAGTGACAACAGTGCTTGAAAAAAAGAGTCCTGGGTTACACAGCACATTATACCAACCTTAACCACGTATAGACACATAGAGGACTGCTCAAATGTTTCATAACAGATTATGAATTCTAAGTTTCTGAAATGGAATGATGTCTTAGAAACATCAATAATACACTATAGCATGACTTTGTGAGCTTTAAATAAACTGACAGCACTGTATAAGGTTCTTAGCAATTGTATGATACTAAGGTTGCCAGTAGGTACCTAGCTTTGACAAAGAGCCATAATCCATAACTCTCATTAATGTAGATTGGAAGATTAACAGTGACGGAATTGTAATTTTCATTGAGCTAACTTTTAATCAATAAAAAATAACATCAAAATAAATGAAAATATTCCCTGTTGACTCCATTCAAGGACCCCTGGGGATCCCAAAATGTTTTGTTTATTTTATGTTAAGAACAAATTGGCCAATGTACTGTTATATTCTTTTAAATCTCATATTTCTGAATTTTAGCATAGACTACATACATATACTCACCTATATGAACATACATCGTCAACAGACAAAAAATTCTTGAAATCATGTATGCATGTTACACAAAAACACATAATCACCAACATCTAACATATCAAATCAAATATCACCAGTTTCCATTTATTATCGTAATAATGTAATATTACAGAAGTTTTTAACAGTGGAAAATATCCAGATTAAGGCACTGATGAGGCGATATGTTTGGCAAAAAACACAGGTGTTTTACTTAATGTACAGTTCATTGTTTGTAGCATGCAAATCTATGCTCTGTACATACAGCATCATTTCTTTTCAAGGTCATGTGCTCTCCAACAAAAGGATCACTGTGAGACATACAGTCGTGGCTCAGGCTTCACCTTGTTATTCACAGATAATAATCCTGCTCTCCTTGATACAGTTAGCTTTTTACAGACA